AATTGTTAATTTGTTGTTAAATGTTTGTGCAGGGCTGGCAATTAGAGATTTTTGGCAAGTAGATGATAGAACTATTGTCTTTGTTGCTGACCCTACCTTTGGTAAGGGATTCAGACATGCCATCTTTTTTGACTAACTCTGGCTCAGCCATGGATGACTTATAGTTGCAGGTTTCTTTGACTAGGCAATATATTAAATTCAATGTTGGGCGTTCTGTTGATCTCGACATTCCACGTAGCTTCTGGAGCCGCTTGGCTGGGAAATTGGGAACATATTCTACTGGAAAGAGAAGGTGAAGTTTCTTTGCTGCTGGAGAACTTTATTTTCGTCTAAAGTTTGTTGCGGCTAAGTCATAATTTATTAGATGTGAATTTATTGTGTCATGGCTGAAACAGGGAGAAGATGCATCTATTGAAGCTGCTGTAATGGCAATAACTAATTGCTTGAGAGAACCAGTGGGTCCAAATAATTGCTTGAGGTGGAAGTAATGCCAACACAGGTTCTACAGGAAGATTTTCTTCATTGTGCTTGGTGACAACCTGTAAATATCACGTAATTCTTCAATAGTTTCATAGTTGCAAGTTTGGTTATAGTGATTGGTTGAATCCAAGGAGTCATGTCTTTTCTTTTTTTTTTTTTTAAATCAAATTAAGAAGGAAAATGGCACGGTTGCCGATAGTCGAAAACAAACCTAGTCAGACCATTACTGGGATTTTTAGAAGGAAATGAGCTATACACTTCTAATTTTACTAAATTTTTAGAGAGATTTGAGTGTATATTCAACTTCAAGCTAAATCCTTCTGAGTTCAATGCATCAATATTGTTCAAAACTTAGTGTCAGTGCCAGCTTACATCTTTGGTATGCAGACTGATCGCAGGGTCAAAATTTGACCACTTATGGGGTTTGTAATAAGATAATAGATTATTATCAGTAAGAAAGAATCTGAATGTGTCAAATACTTTGAAAAAATATTTTTTTTTCCTTTTTTGCCTTAATGTGTGCCCTTTTTTTAATGTTGTTAAACACATCGAAGCCTTTGAGCACTTTGAGCTATATGTTTCACATTAGAAAATCTTGGAGTGACCAAGAAATATTCATATGGCTCTGTTCCACTTAATCCAAATCTCATTTCTTGTGGAAGAAATGGTTTTACATGCAGTAATGGGTGATGATGAAGTGGTGTGACATCAATCAAAACCCAAATGAGCATCAGGAGAGGCATAATCCATATTCATCTCCATTTTACCTTCTCTGCTTACAAGGCCTTGTCTCTTCACTCTCTATTTAATTAAAAAATTAAAACAAAATTTAGTTATAGAAAATTAATAAATTACATTTGATATTGAAAACAATGTGATGTAAATTATTTTGAGTATTGAAATTTTAGATTTAAGTGATTTTATTTTCAGTTCATAGAACTGTTTTGACATATTAAAACCTAAAGTTCAATGACCCCATAAGAAATGGCAAAACCCTCTTCATAAAAAAAAAAAAAAAAAAAAAAGCCAATTACCTAATTAATTATTGGCATATAAAAATAAATAAATAAATAAGATTATATGAATATCTAATCAATTCTATGAATACTCGTATAATTTGCAATCGATTCAATTAAATTTTACGGAACTTACCATTATTTCCAATGTTGTACAAAAAATGTTACTGAATAAAACACACAGATATCACTTCATAATTATGATATTGAAGTTGAGTCACTTCCAAAAAATTGTTTGTAAGTGTGAATGCCGAGTTACTTAAACCAATACGATGTCGTTTCAAGAATGAATCGGACATCAGTTTTTCAAGAGATCCAACGGTGAGTACAGTCCATCCTGTAACGATATATAAGCAAACTTTTCTCTTTAGTCTTTAGAATTCTATTCGATTGATTTATATTAGGTTTGCTCGTTAGGGTCATCGTTGTTCTAAATCTTGATTCTGTGTAACGGGTTGGTGATGGTTTGTTATCTGTTTGAGGGGTTTGTCTCTCAGGGGTAGGATGTAAGTGTTTAGTTTCTAGGCTGTTAGTTACAGATAGGGTGATTTCGGGTTTGATTGGATCTCATCTTGTGTCTGTAATCTGTAAACTGATCAACAAATTAGTGTAGTGGGCTTCGTTTGTTTCCGGAGCTCAACGTGGACTAGCTTCCCAATCTTAGAAAGGAACTACGGTAAAATTGTGGTGTTCTTGATCTTTTGTGAATGTTTTTATGGTTATAATCGTGTTTGAGTGAGTGTTATTACAACAATTGTGATAAGCAATCTCTAAATTATTGAGAAATAGAGTAGACGGTGCAGTTGCAGAGGGTATAGTAAAAATTTGTCACAAATCATTAATACTTTTATAATGCCAAAAGAGACAAAGTGTTTGTAAAAAAAAAAAAAAATAAAAAACGAATGAGAAAATGCTACTTTTGTCTGTATGCATGCGGCTTATGATCTGATAATGACGAAGCCTGGAAAGATACTCTTGCTTTCATTTGGAGCTAGATGTTTGATTAATGTTTCTCAGTAAAATAACAAAATCACTACAAACATATACACATTGTCAATAGTGATCGAATGCTAAAACTAAAAAATTACGGAGAAGAGAGAAGATTATTGGAGAGAAATAATAATCTATCCAATTCTCTGCTCAAGAAATCAAGACATTGAGTTAGTAATTAAATAAAATCTTTTTCTTGAAGAATAAATTGAACCACCATTCAGTAATCAGCACTGGCTCTTCTATTTCTCTTTAAATTTAGAATATCCGTAGTTCTTCAGGTTGCAAGGCACTGCAAGAACACCCTTTTGCTCGAATCCAATTTTTGAGCTTGCTCTAGTAATTTAATGAATTCCGGGTTGTTCAGGTAGCCCAACTCTAATGTGAACTCTTTGGTTCTCACCCTTTACTGCAACAACTGCAAAATAACCTTTCTTCACTGTTCCACCAGATCCCTTTTCTCCATTTTCATCACTTGGTCGAGATTAGCTCCACTCTAGATGTTGAGAACAAACGGCGTCGGTGCAACTTGGTTATGAGCACCTTCAGCTTCATTAAGCCTTTAATTCTCTCTTCCCTTACATCCATTTTGAATATGGAGGTCAGAAAACTGTATCTATATGAATAAGAAATTAGATTCTGTGAAACTTCAATTATTTGGAGAGAAGCTAGAAAGAAATTTATACTAGTTAGTGAGGGAGAAGCTAGGAAATAAGGTGAAGCTTCTTAGAAATTAATAGATTGGGGCCAATGATATGGATGAAGCCTGGATTATTAATGCAATGTTGATAGTTCACTCTCGTGTTTTCTGCAAATGGGTGGGCACTGGGGCCTTCAAAAACACGGTTACAGTTACATTTGTTCCCATCTTCACTACCTCTTTTCTGTCTTAGTAAAGGGTGTTTCATCTTTTACTTCCTCGCTTTCTGTCATTTTTACTATTAGTTCTTCACTTTTCTACATCTTTAATTTTAGTATCAATTGTATACATATAATGCCTGGTGGGTGGAGGACATGTTTATGTTTGTCAATTCATTTAAAATGCAAAAATATTTTGTTTCATAAGCGGGATGGTCTTATCTCTTCATTTTGTGCAGTATTCAGCAAGGCAGGGCAATATTTTCATTATCCCAAGTACAAAAATAGTACTTGCAACAGACGAAACAATTATATTGGTTGACTTTGAGGGATTCTTAACGTGGGTTTGAAATATTTCAAATTTGTTTAATGTGTTCAAACTGTCAGTGCACTGTGCTGCAATATTATTTGGATTCTGAATTTGATCATCAGGATAACTGAGATCCAGCTAATAAAGTTTGACACCGAGCAATCGATATACCTTTGTAAAGCAATTGATGTGTTTCTAATAAAAATAATGAAGATATGTTACAAACCATAAATATTGAATGACTATGGATGGAACAGAATGACTGAAAGAAAATTCAAGAAATCTGATAGGAAAGAGGCTGCTAAGTGAAGAATATACAAGAGGAAGTCGGATACGTCATTCAGACCTTCAATTATTGGATTATGTTCATATTTATTTCTAGGAGTCCGTTGGGAGTTTTATGATAACGGTAAGTTTCTGGTTGCAGTTATGAGGGGTAATCATTGTAGTGATTTTAAGGATAAATTATCGTACGGTTTTTAGAGGTTTTTAGTATCAGTTTTTAAAACACTCAACCTGTGCTTAGGAGTATTTTTTAGCGGTTCTAATAGTTTTTAAAATAATAAATTTACATATATGCCTATAAAATACCCCAACTTACTAGTACTTAGTGTTTTGTTTTTTCAATTATAAGATAAGAATTCTTATTTGTTTTTACTTATTAGTATTTTATAACTTCAATATAAAAAAATATTCTTATCATTCTGCAGGAAATTTTTTCTTTCTTGGTTCATCACTGATTTCATGAAAATCCAAGCGGCATGCTACATACAACCAGTTGGTTACGTTTGTTAGGTGAGTCTGTTAGTCTGTTACTCGGAGTTTGTTAGCTGTAGTTAGTTAGTTGAGCTTAGTTAGTTGTTAACTAAATTTTTAAGCTTGTATATAAAGAAGCTAAACATTCAATAAAGGTTGTTAGTTCATTCTCAATCAAAATACTCTTCTCTGTTCCATTCCGCAAACTTCAACAAGAACCTGTTCCTCTTCTGTTCAAAAACACAAACAACAGAATCAAATTGAAATTAAACTTCGAGTGATACAGATGAACAAGTACTTGAATTATGATTTGTTTCTTTCTGCATTTTGACTGGGCAAACATTTTTGTTTACCCTCGACTAATTACGCAGGATGGGAATGAATAATATTTTAATAAAACACTTTATTGGTTGCTCATAAAACTCCATGATCTAAATAAATAAAGGAAACAATAAATTGTTCTTCAATCTTCATCAAGAGGTGTAGAGTTGATACAAGTGTTGGCGTTACTTGGCACTTCCTCGGACACAAAATCCAAATCCATCATCTTATCCAGAATTAAAAATTACAAAAAAAAAAAAAAGGGAAAAATGAAATTCACTTTCACTCCATCAGTTATACGGTCCCAGAAGAAAGGGAAATAATGGCGTTTTTGCAACTTCCTTGTTCTCCTCTAACTCTTAGAACCACTTCATGTTCTGTGTTTACAGCGCCACCCATCAAAGCATCATCTAATTTGTCTTTGCCAACCTCTTCAAAACCGAAAACGACTAAATTTAGGAACTGGGTCGCAAACTTTCATTCCAAATCTTTGAGCTTCTTGCTCTCTGGGGCTCTCTCACTTGGTTTATCTCTCACAGGCAAGTATATTCTTGTTTTCTCAAAAATCTTCGCCAAGAATTTGCATTTTTTTTCTTTCATATGGGTTAAATTTTGACTGAAAGTCAGTTTAAGTTAGTGAGTTGTGGATTGTACATTGTTTAGCTTCAAATACTATCAGTAAGAAAATAACAATGGGTTCCTCTTATATGCCGCTTATGCATTCACAATTTTTTTTTTTTCCCTTAAATTTTAATTTCTTTATTTAAGTTTGATAATTTAATGGATATTGCTATATTTGTTTTTTGGCACGAAGTCATTGCATAGTAGTTTTTCTGTTTTTCTCTTTTTTTTCCCCTGGTTATATAATACAACGGACTGAAAACAGAACAAACCAAACTTTGTAGGAGCTGGAATTTCAGAGGCAAAAGTTGGGGTTAACAAGCCAGAATTGCTTCCTGAAGTATTCACTCCTGTGATTGATGTGGCAGGGTTCCTATCTGATGGGCAGGTGTGGTTACTTTTTGTCTCATTTCTGATTTGGAGTTATTTATATACTTGGGCATTCTCTACAAGCTTGCTGGGTTTGTGGAACTTTATTTGTTTGCTTAGTATGCATGTTATTGGAGGTAAATGGTAATGCTATTATTACTGAACCAATTCAAGTAGAATATGCTGAAGTCTAAAGCAACAGTTTTTGGATGGAGGCACTTTTTTTCTTATTCTCCGATTCCCTTTCTTCTCATCTTGTTTTCCATTTATGTTTGTAATAATATATAGTTTAGTGACTTTGATAATATGCTTGTCACAGTCACTTACCTTCTTGTTGGTTTCCCTCCTATTGTCTTAAGTATTTTAAGTTAATTTCTACTTGGTATAAGTGTAAGAGTAAGAGGACGGCTTCTTAGGCATATTGGATTCTTTGTAATTAAAAATACCATATGTTCATCAACTCGTGCCAATGCTTGAGCATTGAGTCTGGTTGATTTGTTTAGATATTGAAGGAACTCAGACTCGATGGGTTAATGTACTTACAACCTTTGTTTAGTTGTCGAAAAGATGGTGGTAGAGGAAAGAGAAGTTCAAAAATTTTGTGCTCAGTTGTTACTGTTAGCCAAATGCTCAAACGCGTAAAAAAGAACCTTTAGCAGTTTGTGCTAAGTCCAATTTGTGAGGCAACTGAATATAATTGAGAGTTGTTTATCCATGTTTCCACGTAATTAATTTGGTTATGTATTATAGTCGATACATTTTGCATTTTTAAATAGTTCTAATATAGCTCAAAACCATAATGCCCTGGGCTGTATATTAGGGAGTGATAAGGTTGGTTCACACCTGTCATAATCCTACATGTATTACTGAAAATTTTGCATCTTTCTTTTAATTTTTGCTAAGCAAGGACTTGATGGTGTCCTAGAATCCAAGTTTATATAGAGACGGCACTCTGTTACTTTCTAATTGCTTATTATATCCGTTTGAACATGAGATTTATAGAAGAAAAATAGGCTAAATTGCTGAACCTGGTAGGGTTTGTTTGCAGGAGAGAAGAATTGCTCAGGAGATTGCTGATCTTGAAAAGGATACCGGATTCAAATTAAGAGTTTTAGCCCAAAATTATCCTGATACACCTGGTCTTCTTTATATTTTTGAGCTCTTGTCATCCAAGAATTTGCTATATTTATCTTTATAGGACTCTTGTCACCCCTGTTTCCAAACTTGAATCTGTCTGCATTATGAATTATTATAAGAATTGTTTAATTTGTTTGTTAAATGTTGTGCAGGGCTGGCAATTAGAGATTTTTGGCAAGTAGATGATAGAACTATTGTCTTTGTTGCTGACCCTACCTTTGGTAAGGGATTCAGACATGCCATCTTTTTTTGACTAACTCTGGCTCAGCCATGGATGACTTATAGTTGCAGGTTTCTTTGACTAGGCAATATATTAAATTTCAATGTTGGGGCTTCTGTTGATCTCGACATTCCACGTAGCTTCTGGAGCCGCTTGTCTGGGAAATATGGGAACATATTCTACTGGAAAGAGAAGGTGAAGTTTCTTTGCTGCCTGGAGAACTTTATTTTCGTCTAAAGTTTGTTGCGGCTAAGTCATAATTTATTAGATGTGAGATTTATTGTGTCATGGCTGAAACAGGGAGAAGATGCATCTATTGAAGCTGCTGTAATGGCAATAACTAATTGCTTGAGAGAACCAGTGGGTCCAAATAATTGCTCTGAGGTGAAGTAATGCCAACACAGGTTCTACAGGAAAGATTTTCTTCAGTTGTGCTTGGTGACAACCTGTAAATATCACGTAATTCTTTCAATAGTTTCATAGTTGCAAGTTTGGTTATAGTGATTGGTTGAATCCAAGGAGTCATGTCCTTTTTCTTTTCTTTTTTTTTTTTAAATCAAATTTAAGAAGGAAAATGGCACGGTTGCCGATAGTCGAAAACAAACCTAGTCAGACCATTTACTGGAATTTTTAGAAGGAAATGAGCTATACACTTCTAATTTTTACTAAATTTTTAGAGAGATTTGAGTGTATATTCAACTTCAAGCTAAATCCTTCTGACGTTCAATGCATCATATTATTGTTCAAAACTTAGTGTCAGTGCCAGCTTACATCTTTGGTATGCAGACTGATCTGCAGGGTCAAAATTTCAGACCACTTATGGGGTTTAGTAATAAGATAATAGATTATTATCAGTAAGAAAGAATCTGAATGTGTCAAATACTTTGAAAAAATATTTTTTTTTTTCCTTTTTTGCCTTAATGTGTGCCCTTTTTTTAATGTTGTTAAACACATCGAAGCCTTTGAGCACCTTTGAGCTATATGTTTCACATTAGAAAATCTTGGAGTGACCAAGAAGTATTCATATGGCTCTGTTCCACTTTAATCCAAATCTCATTTTCTTGTGGAAGGAAATGTTGTTTTACATGGCAGTAATTGGGGGATGAATGAGTAGTGGTTGACATCAATCAAACCCAAATGAGCATCAGGAGAAGCATAATCCAAATCATCTCCATTTTACCTCCTTTGCTTACAAGGCCTTGTCTCTTCACTCTCTATTAATTAAAAAAATTAAAACAAAATTTAGTTATAGAAAATTTACCAAATTACATTTGATTGAAACATATGTGATGTAAATTATTTTGAGATATTGAAATTTTAGATTTAAGTGTTTGATTTTCAGTTCATAGATCTGTTTTGACAATAAACCTAAAGTTCAATGACCCCATAAGAAATTGGCAAAACCCTCTTCAAAAAAAAAAAAAAAAAAAAAAAAAAAAAAAAAAAAAAAAGGCGAATTTTTTAACCAACTTATAATTATTTTTGCATATAAAATAAATAAATAAATAAGATTATATGAATATCTAATCAATTTATGAATACTCGTATAATTTTGCAATCGATTCTTCAATTCAAATTACGGAACTTACAATTTTCCAATGTTGTACAAAAATGTTTACGAATAAAACACACAGAGATATCACTTCATAATTATGATATTGACGTTGAGTCACTTCCTAAAAAAATTGTTGTAAGTGTGAAGACTGAAACGATGCGTGTTACTTAAACCAATACGATGTCGTTTCAAGAATGAATGGATATCAGTTTTTCAAGAGATCCAACGGCTGAGTACAGTCCATCCTAGTCAACGATATATAAGCAAACTTTTCTCTTTAGTCTTTAGAATTCTATTCGATTGATATAGGTTAGGTTTGCTCTGCTAAGGTTCATCGGTTTGTCTAAAATCTGATTCTGTGTGTAACGGGTTGAGTGATTGGTTTGTCATTCTGTTTGAGGGGTTTGTGCTCTCACATGGGCAGGGATTCTGAGTGTTTAGTTTTCTAGGCTGTTAGTTACAGATAGGGTGATTTCGGGTTTGATTGGATTTTCTATCTTGTGTCTGTAATCTGTAACTGAACAACAAATTAGTGTAGTGGCTTCGGTGTTCCGGAGCTCAACGTGGACGTAGTCTCCAATCTTGGAAAGTGAATACGGTAAAATTGTGATGTTCTTGATCTTTTAGAATGTTTTTATTGGTTATAATCTGTGTTTGAGTGAGTGTTATTACAACAATTGTGATAAGCAATCTCTTAAATTATTTGAGAAATAGAGTAGACGGTGCAGTTGCAGAGGGTATAGTAAAATTTTTGTCACAAATCATTAATACTTTATAATGCCAAAAGAGACAAAGTGTTTGTAAAAAAAAAAAAAAAAAAAAAAAATGAAAAACGAATGAAAAATGTACTTTTGCTTGTATGGATGGCGGCTTAGATCTGATAATGACAGAAGCCTGGAAAGATACTTTGTGCTTTATTGGAGCTAGATTGTTTGATTAGTTTTTCAGTAAAATAACAAAATCACTCACCAACATATACACAATTGTCAATAGTGATCGAATGCTAAAACTAAAAAATTACGGAGAGAGAGAAGATTATTGGAGAGAAATAATAATCTATCCAATATCTCTGCTCCAAGAAATCAAGACATTGAGTTATGTAATTAAATAAAATCTTTTTCTTGAAGAATAAATTGAACTCTACCATTCAGTAATCACGTACTGGCTCTTCTATTTCTCTTAAATTTAGAATATCCTGTAGTTCTTCAGGTTTGCAAGGCACTGCAAGAACACCCTTTTGCTCGAATCCAAATTTTCTTGAGCTTGTCTAGTAATTTAATGAATTCCGGGTTGTTCAGGTAGCCCAACTCTAATGTGAACCTCTTTGGTTCTCACCCTTACTGCAACAAACTGCAAAAAACCTTTCTACTGTTCCACCAGATCCCTTTCTCCATTTTCATCCACTGGTCGAGATTAGCTCCGCCTCTAGATGTTGAGAACAAACGGCGTCGTTGCAACTTGGTTATGAGCACCTTCAGCTTCATTAAGCCTTTAATTCTCTCTTCCTTACATCATTTTGAATATGGAGGTCAGAAAAATGTACTATATGAATAAGAAATTAGATTCGTGAAACTTCAATTATTGGAGAGAAGCTAGAATGAATTTATACTAGTTAGTGAGGGAGATAGTAGGAAATAAGGTGAAGCTTCTTAGAAATTAATAGATTGGGCCAATGATATGGATGAAGCCATGGATTATTTAATGCAATGTTGGATAGTTCACCCTCGTGTTTTTCTGCAAATGGTGGGGCACTGGGGCCTTCAAAAACACGGTTTACAGTTTCATTTGTTTCCCATCTTCACTACCTCTTTCTGTTAGTAAAGGTGTTTCATCTTTTACTTCCTCGCTTTCTGTCATTTTTTACTATTATGTTCTCACTTTTCTATCTTTTAATTAGTATCAATTATATACATATATGCCTGGTGGGTGGAGGACCATGTTATGTTGTCAATTCATTTAAATGGAAAAATATTTTTGTTTCATGAGGCGTATGGTCTTTATTTTCTTCATTTTTGTGCAGTATTCAGCAAGGCAGGCAATATTTTCATTATCCTAAGTACAAAAATTAGTACTGCAACCGACGAAACAATTATTTAGTGACTTATGAGGGATTCTTAACGTGGGTTTGAAATATTTCAATATTTGTTTAATGTGTTCAAACTGTCAGTGCACTGGGCTGCAATATTATTTGGATTCTGAATTATGATCATCAAGATAACTGAGATCCAGCTAAAGTTTGACACCGAGCGATCGATTACCTTTGTAAAGCAATTGATGTGTTTTCTAATAGAATAATGAAGATATGTTTAAACAATAAAAATATGAATATGACCTATGGATGGCAACAGAATGACTGAAAGAAAAATTCAAGAAATCGATAGGAACAGAGGCTGCTTAAGTGAGAATATTAGTCAAGAGGAAGTTTTACTTTCGGTACGCATTCAGACCTTCAATTGGAATATACTGTTCATGTTTCATTTCTAAATAATGAATTATGTTGATTGGTTAAAGAATTTAGGGGGTACTTCCGTACTGTCATCTCATACTTTAATAACATTTTATTTCAGCTCAAAAAATCTGCAATAAATAACACTCTGATACAAACAAAATGTTGAAAGTTGTTACTTATCCTTTTATGCTTGTTCTTCGCTTTTATGAGATGGTTTAAAATGAAATTTATTGGCAAGGAAGTGTTTAATATTTTTAAGGAGATTTTTTATATTTTTAAGAGGGTTTTTTTTTTTTAATGATTAGAAGGGATTTTTATTAAAAAAAATACTATTACTTATATTTATATATATACTTGTTCTTTCTTATCAACAGCAATCCGTTATATTACAACACTCTACGTATTCTTTATGTCGTTGTCAATCTCTATTCCTAGCAATAATTCAACCCACACGATTTTGAAAATTTTCAAATATATGATACTTACAACATTATTGTAGAAGTATTTTTAGATCAAAACACGAACAACGAAAAAATTACACCGAAATTGTGTACCAATCGCATGAATTTTCTTCAATTTTTTTATAGTGAACGGCCGTCCAAAAAATTAGACGACCATTCACTCACATAGACCCGTCCATATTATATGGATGGGGTCCATATACCAGGGATAGGGTCCCCATTTAAAGGATGCCGTCCTTGAATAAAATACAATAATTTTTTTTATAAATATTAAGGACGGTCGTCCCTTCATTTTGGACGAGCGTCCGCAAATAAGGGACGCCCCGTAACCAAAATATATATAAAAAAAAAAAAACTTTAGGGACGGCCGTCCATAAATTTTGGACGGTGTTCCCTTAGCTTTGGACGGACGCCGTCATACTTTAAAAAAAAAAAAATTTAAAAAACTCTCTTCTTCGTCTTCATTCTAAAAAACTAATGCTTTGAGCTTCAATTAGTTTTTTTATGTAGATTGCACGAGAAACTCAAAGCAGTGATGGGAATCTCAATAGGAATACCAGTGACGAACACCCAATCAGTTTAATGAGTAATAGTCAGAAATAAATCCTACAATTCGATGAATTTAAAACGATATATAGTAATAATCCAAGTAGTTCAACTGATTCAAGTGTTGTGTTACAGAGGCTGCAGATCGCTCAAGCTCTCCAAGTTCAACTGGAAGTGCAGAGGAACTTCATGAACAGATTGAGGTACAACAACCATTAAACCAATCAGAGATTGGTTTCTGTTATCATAAAAGCATCATACATTCAAACTTCAATCAACTGGGAATTTATATTTTTAGGTACAGCGACATTTGCAGCTGAGAATTGAAGCTCAAGGGAAGTACTTACAGTCTGTCTTAAGATTTTTTAGAATGAAGACGAAGAGAGAGTTTTTTTTAGATTTTTTTTGTTAAAAAGTATGGACGAGGTCCATTCCTGTCAAACGTAAGGGACGGTCGTCCCTAAAGTTTTTTTTTTTTTATTTTCATATTTTGGTTAAGGACGGGCGCCCCTATTTGCGGCGCCCGTCCAAAATGAAGGGACGGTCGTCCATACGGAAGAACGGCGTCCCTAATGTTTATAAAATTTTTTTTATTGTATTTATTCAAGGAGGGTGTCCTTTAAATGGAGACGGCCTCCATAATAAGACCCCCCGTCCATATAATATGGACGGGGGTCCATGTGAGTGAACGGCGTCTAAATTTTTTGGACGTATTCACTAAAAAAAAATTGAAGAAAAATTATACGATGATATACGTAGACCG